AGATTCCAAGCAGATGCAGAAGGCTTCTGTGCATGGTAGTGATTATGTGTGTGGCCTGCACAGGCTGATTTCAGATGCCTCCAGAGCTCCGTGGACTTTCTCTCTCATAAGCTATTTGGGATTAAAGCTAGGACCTCATCCATTTCAACTCTGACAATGGACACAAACACAAGGTAAGCTAATCAAGCCAAACAAGTTGAATGTTCCCCCTCACAGATGGCTCTTTTAATCTTCAATGACTACTGAATTTTACCAGACATGCTACACTTAATATTTTGACAGTTGTTTATTAAAATTACTTTCCTAGGAAGTCCTATGAAACCAACAGTCTAGTTTTTATCAGAACAGAGGTATCAGAGCGAAATGGTATTGATAGCACACTTGCAGCAAGCAGACAACAATAGGAAACTCTTAGCACTCCCAGAGTTGCATCAGATTTTCCATGGACCAAAACTAAAATGAAATACTCAATTACTGAGAGGTAGATAAGTAAAATAAACAACTAATTTCATGTAGTGGAGTTGGGAGGGAATCATATGGACCTCATTCTGTTGTCTCCAAACACTTTATCGAAGGGGGAAAAGGAGCTGAATAAACTTTAAACTCTCATGGAGGGATGTATTGCTTGTGTGTCCCTGGCAGATGTGGAAAGGAGATGAAATGGGCAAGGGAGAATCAAATATCCCATCGCTGCAGGTTTGCTGAGGGAAAGAGCACTGCAAAGATCTCACATCTGGCAATCATTTGTCAAGAGCTGGAAAGAGAACGGCAGGAAACTTTCTGGCTCTTGGAGAAGATGAAAAGACAAAAACCATGTGTCACACACACACATACGCACGCGCGCACACACACACACACACACACACACACACACACTCGTGCTCACACACTCGGCAATGGTACAATGACTACTACACTTATTCCCCACCCCTCTCCTTACCCTCACTAAATTTAATGATCTTCAGATATACTCCACTCCATGGTCAAAAACATGCAGTCACTTGACTTGTTAAAGCTGCAGTCTATGTACATTTTCAAATAAACCCCAGGGCTGATGTTAGAAAATCAAAATCAGTCAAGCATAGACCGCCTGGTACTTTGGGCAGGAATCCTTGTGGTTTCGTCAATAAACAGAATCTGAATGAAAGACACCACAGTAACTAGACAGTAACGTTTTGAACAGTTCTTAACCTGAAGGGGGGCTGGGGAAGGCGGGTGCACTAGCGACCATGGACAGAAGTCTACCAGTGCATTTACATCACTCACTCTACCTGTGACACAACTGTGTGTAGCACAAGCTCATCTGTTATTTCTAACACACACTCAAAAATACCAGTGAACTTATATTTGAGGGATGTTGTGAATGAATTTGGAGAGGAAACTGTTTTTTGGTTTTTTTTAAAAATTAATATACCTATTTAAGAGGGTGGGAAGGGGAAATCTCAGATTCTGTTTAATGCACACTAGTGATAACAATATAAAAAATTTGCTAGCTTCGTTATGAATTCATAAAAATGACCAGTTTTGCATCAGTAGGTTTAAATAAAAAGTTTTCAGGACACCCTGAAACTTTCAGGACACCCTGTGTACTTTCAGTACACAATTAGTTAACTTCTCCAAAATCACAGGAATTTAAATCTGCTCATGGTGATCTATAGACTTCAATGGGTAGCTTTTGGTCCACCCTTATGCTGCGTTTAACTAGCAGCAGCAGCCAAGCTCGTCCCTGTGATTCCATGAGTGAATGCTGCAGGTTGTTTAATAACCTGGCAAATTCACAGTAGCTTGTCAAATTATTACAGGAACAGTGTCATCACTAAACAAGCCTGATCACGGTTAATTACAATGCAGACTAGAGAGCAGCCACAATTGTTCATTAATTACAGGAAGCACCTCATTTAAATTTTATGGAAATTTACACTTGCACCCCGGTATGTCTGGAAAAAAAAGTGATCCTTCACGCATTCACAGAAGAAAGGAGTCTGTGGCTTATGAAACACCACAGTAAATTGTGTCTCATCTAATACAGAAATATTGGTTCATTATTTACTCTAATTTTCTAAGCACTTTAGTGGTGAAAAATATCAAGTCAAATACCACATCTTGAATTTCCCAACCAAGAAAGGAAATGTGCTGGGCCTACTGTAACAACTCAATACCTGATGAGGCACAGTTAGACTAAAAAAGTAACTTTTCTCTGATTAAAAATAAAAGTTACCAGCAATTAAGGGAATCTAAACTAGAATAACCATTGCCTATAAAGCACTTGTATAAGAACACAATTTTTATACATCATCATCTACTAGACATCAGTTTACCTTCCCAGCTGAAGAAAGTAGTTTTATACCTACTTCAAAAGCCACTGAAGAAAATTAACAAAGTTAGATAATGAATCAAAATCTTGATTTCCAGCTACTTTTCTAAATCAAGTCTATTAACACCAAAAAAAGAAGAAGAAGAAGAAGAAGAAGAAGAAGAAGAAGAAGAAGAAGAAGAAGAAGAAGAAGAACAGATGTCCTTGCAAAAGTCAAGTCAGGTTATGATCATTCCAAACCAAAGGTATATTAATGAAAGAGTGTCAGGGATCTTGGGATTAAGAAACAATAACTTTGGTAAGCCATCTGACACTTTAGAGATAAAAGGAAAGGGTTAAAAGGAATACCTTAATCAACAAAGAAAAAAATAAATAAAAGGAAGCAGGAAAGGACTCCACCAGTCATGAAAACTCATGTCAGCTAAATATAAAAGTAGACCAGATATGGGTGCTATGTGTCTAAATGAAAATCCTTTTTAGGAAAAGATATAAACACACATTGCTCCTAAATTGAGGTGCCCACAGGGTTATTCTCAGAATCGAGGTGACATCGCGAATCCTCTGGTGGTTATGGTGTCTGGCCTTGAGGGAGAGCCTGAGATCCGAGTGGGAAAATAAATGACTCTGATGACCCTGGCAAGTCCTAGAGTGAGTCCCATGGAGTGTAGAGTTGGACTAAAATATAAGAAATGGCTCATTCTGTAAGGGAAGGGGGGAAAACCAAACACCAGAATACATTCCATGGCAAGAATGAAAGGACTGTAAGCTAAAAACTACTCCTGGAATTGTTAGCTGGTGAAGAAGATATTAGGAGTGGAGTTTGTTATGACTGACATAATATGGATATATACTAGATAGTATTACAATGTATGGAAGCCATATTAAAAAATGAAGAGGAAAAAAAGAGAAGGAAACAGTTCGAGTGAGTCCCAGTTAATTCACCAATTCACTATAGTTGACTATCTTTTGACAGGTTCTACCTTTCCACTCAGTCTGCCAAAATAGTGTTGCAAGAGGAGGAATCCAATAAACTGAGCACTTTCATTTCTTTGCCCAGGAGTTCAGTTGTCTTCGCAAGGCCCATGCTGAACTGTCAACTCCACAATTTGTTTCACTACCTACAACCAGAGTTTCACTTAAACTTATAAATACACATTTCCTCCCTTGGTATGTCATCATAATGAGCTGCATTGGTCTCTTTCAGTTTTACTTCACACAGTCACATCTGCAAAACCCATTGCTCTTTGCACCATAACTCAGGGTTCAAAAACAAATGATCCAACAGCCACCCATGACAGATCATTCCAGGTGATACGTTTGAGGACCATCAATTGTCCTACCCAAAGAGGTCAAGGATCAGACAATTCTCCATCAAAAGTCTTCCATCACTTTGCATTGACGTGTCACACACAAGCTGTTAACTTTCTAAAACTGGGAAATGCACGCTCATGTCTCATATGTGTCACACCTGCTTTTCTGTTGTATCATAGCCATGCACCACCCAGGCAGTACCAGCTTGTGGCACTGAAGAGCTCAGGTGGTCTTCCTAGTCCAAGAGCAGGTGTGCAAGTGATGGTGTACCCTTCAGTACCATAAAAACCGAAACCTCCTCCAACCACCCCTTCTACCTTCACTCCCACTGTGAAGAAGTAATGTTTAAAACTATTCTCTTTTCTCATGTGGGTTATCTCAATCAGTAATATGCTTTAAAACTGAACTCACGATGCTCATCCCGTAAGTCTGAAAATTTTAGAAAATGATGCCAAATGGAGGTCCTAAAAAATACTATGAGTTGGCTTATGCTAGGGATTGGCATCCCTGTTGAAACCTCAGCCTTGCATCACTGACACACACATTTCTTACATATTTAAAGGTACATGGAAGTGGAGACATTACTTAGGCCAAGACATCATGTTTATATTTTTAATTTGCAACATACCAGACTGCTTTGACTATCTCAAGACCAAACAAAAGGAACTGAATTCCAAGTCAATACTTTCACACACAAAAATGTACTTTGCTAATAATCTTACTATTCTACCAGAGGCCCTACCTCCCAATCCATGAAGAAGGAAGACAGCTATTATTGAGTCCTATTTCTCGAAGACAGTGCCCAGTGGAATGGCTTCCATTCTCCTGGGCTGGGAGACCATAATGCAGGAAGCAGGCCTTGCTCACCAGGTATCCCCAGTCCTTAGCGCAGTGCTTAGCACATGACTATGATGATTTAAGAAGATGGGAGCTAATATTCCCGGAGTGCCTGTTGCGTGCCAGGCCCTAGGTTAACTGCTAGGTATACATTGGAACATTTAATCCTCATAATCACCTTGTGCGGTAGATCTCCATGTCACACATGAGAAAGCTAAAGCTCAGTTAAGCTGAGTGACTTGCCAAAGGTCTCACAGCAAGCAGCTTGCATCACCGGGGCAGCCAGCCTTCAGAAACCATGGTCTTATCCACTGCAGTATGTACTATTTCTTGGATTAACAAATAAATGATCTCCAGTTACAGACAACTTATCCTGAAAAGGACATTTTGCTGCATATATGCTACACTGATCCCTCTTCTACACTTGTCTCAATGGTTGTCCGTCCGTCTCCTGATGTCACAGATACATCTGTGTGGCCTTTGGGGGCCACTGTTTCTGTCACACCACCCCCAACTGATAAAACAGTAAGACTCCAACCTGGACTTCCAGCCTCTGGTCTGGCTCCTCCAGGTTTGGGCAGAAGTCTGCACCCAGCACTCTGCCAGCACATGCCACTGGAACCTGGGGGAATATGGCGGAGTTAGATAGGTGCTGGGTGTGGTGGCTGAGAACTGCACACACACACACACACACACACACACACACACACGCGCGCGCGCGCACACACTTGACCCAGGCAGAAGCAGGGACATCCCAACTGCAGGTCTAAAACAGGCCATCATGGCTTCACAGGTTTTTGACACTTAGTAGGTCAAACATGTTGTAAATATCACACATCCTAGTTTACTAACTACCAAGAAGGTAAATTCCAAGAAAAAAAAGATCCACATAAAATGTATTCCCCCTTGTATCTACAGCATGCAGCACAAGGGAGGCACTTAAATATCTGTAGATGGAAGGAGGAGAGAAGGAGAAAGGTAAAAAGGCATGGAGGAAGGAAATAAGGGAAGGGGAAAAGAAGCTTGGTAATATTTATTCCTCTTTTAATTTTCTTATGTGGGAATTAAGAAAATTGTATTCCATAATGCCTAAAGTTCCTCTGTACTCTTAAAAGATCTATCCAAATCTATTTCTTCTATTTCTGGTATAGACTAGCAAGGCAAGTTTGTTTTTCAATATTTATTATTTGCTTACTATTATTTATGTCTGTTCTAATAATAAAATGATAACAATAAAACAGCTATAACTTAATTTAGTTCTTTGTTTTTAGAATTCTACATTGAAAGCCACTAAAATTCCCTTTCAAAAGTAAGTTATTCATTATAAGGAGTCAATCTCATCTTGAAATACTGCCTCCTATAACTTGCTCACTTAATTGTAGACATTTTAAGATAAGTGAAAAAAGATATAGATTTGACTTAAACCTGTTTTTTCCTTGTAAAAATTTTATCTAATATTCAATACTTCCAAACATATACTATTTCATTAATTATACATCTATCCACATATATAGGAATCTCAATTCATCAATCAGCTTCACCCCATCTGTGTCCTTTCCCTATCAAAGTCCTCCTTTGGTGTTTTGTTTTGTTTTGTTTTGTTTTGTTTTAACTTCAATTAGGATCATCTGTGCCAATCCATTTTCTTTGTTTAGAGATCACTTTTCATCCAAGCATGCTGTCTTAGAAGGTATTTCCCTCTCTCTTTTTGACCCACAAATCAGTTCACTTCTCCAAATTTAAACAATATCAAGAAGCTTCATTTTGCAATATTACTAATTTTTACTAATGAATAGTAAATAGTGAATATTACTATTTTTTAAAAAGCATTCAGTCAACTCTTCAAACATTTCAGATTCAACTCTCCTATTTTTTAAATCTCTCCTTCTTTCTTCCTGCCTATGTACATAAGGCAAAATGGACAGAATATCATCTAACTTTAAAATTAACCACTCTTTACCCAGGAATCTCTCCGGGGAAGCCCAAGAGGGAGAGGAAAAGGAAGTCACATTTACTGAGCACTTGCAATGAGCCAGTCACCACAGGGGCACCTTCAGCCATCTTATGTGGTATGAGCATCTGCATTTGACAAATGAAAAAGCCAGAGTTCAGAGTAGGTAAATAAAACGAGCTCAGAGTCACATGCTAGAGAGTTGCACTGCCCAAACTTTAAAAAATGAGGAAGAAAAACTGAGAGCATATTTCAAAGTTAATGAAAAGCATGTAATAGTTGTATTTAGTGGCATTCATTCTAGGGGCATTTGTTGATGTTTCACATGAAAGAAATTACAAAGAACACAAAGGAAATGGAGAAGGTGTTACCAGAAACCAAGGCTGACTACTTGCTCTTTGGTCTAGGACAACATAAGCAATGAAAAAGGGAACTGATCCTTAAACCTGAGGAATGAGAAAGAAAGGGGGCATGGAGGAGAGTCGAGACACTGTGAATCTGGGTTGTGTCACACACAGAATGATGCTGATTCCACCCCTCAGATGACACACAGAGAGGCACTAATGAGTCAGGCAACAGTCATTCTCCCTAGGGTGCAACAGAAGGACTGGAAAAAACTGATCTTAGAATATCCATTTCAAAATGAAACCCCCCAAAAAAGCTTCCCATAAAGCCTCAATTAATGTGACTACTTAACTCATTAAAGCAGAATCCGTGAGTCAGAATTAAGTGTAAACAATACTTTATTTTATATACACAGAACAAAGTCCCACTTACCTTAATATTATTTGGCCAGATCACAAATTTTCTAAGTTTCTAGTTCCTTTTCCCCCCAACAGAATGCATTTTATAAACACTCTCAACAGGAAATGAGACAGTTAACCAAGCACAGTGACACTCAATTACAACCTCAGACACTTAGAAATTCAGTTTCTGAGAGAATACAAGAAGTTCTGTGAATAAGTTGGAAGGAAGCTGTGCCAGGCCTCTAGAATGTTTCAATAATCCAGATCACAAAAAGGATTTAGTAGGAAAGTGGGTAGCACTCTCATAGTTAGAAGCCTCGAGTTTCAAAACCGGAAAAAAAAAATCTGTTAGTGTCCATATAAATGGACTCCCATATTTTAGGGACGAGGAAATTGAGGTTCAAACTAAACTGCAGTTTCAGGGATGGGTTCACCTTCCAATAATACTCTCCCATCCCCATTGACAATTGGTGTCACTGATTATCAGAGAGGAAAATTTTAAGGAAAAGGCAAGTGACAGTATCTGGTTCCTAATTCATCATTCCAAGGAAAATACAAAGGATATAAAAGTTGATAACCTAATTAGTTATAATGCAGCACACCTAGACAATTAGGCCTTTTGATTTAGAAGCCTCCTTTGTAAACGAAATAGCTATAAAGCAGTCAAAAAATGATTGACAGAAACAGCAGAACAAATTGTGTAAATCCTTACTAGTACTCTAGTTTAAATTAAAATATTAAAATATAGTGTATACACAACGACTGTTTTCACTGGAATATAAAACCTAAAATTGATTTGGGGAATTCCAATGTTATCCACTTTCCTTCATGCCAGCGTTCACAGTGTCTGTTTCAATGCCATATTTTAAAAACTAAATTCTACAATGATTTTTGCGAAATGTTCGTAGTGATTTTTATCTCTGAAAAGAAGTTAGACTGAGGGAACTTTTTAAATTCTTTGTTTTAATCATTGCATATTTTGCTTTCAAAGTAAAAAAAAAAAACAACACATAAGTTGAAAAGAAAGTACTAACCTGATCAGCTAATGTGGCTAAACATTCCGCCACAGGTTTCATTATGGAACGGTAATTGTCTAGTACTCATCTACATTTCATTCTGCTGGTGCTGTAACAGGAAATAAGAGGCCTTGTAAGGGACCCTCTAGGATCCCCAGGGTAGGCAGAAGCTGAGTGCGTATCTACTCTCCTGTACATACCTCAAAGGAATCATGGTGTGTGAGAGAGCTATTTACAACTTACTTTGTGTATAATCAGCAGAAACAAAAGATATGACAACAAGCATAAAGGCCTCTCTCTCCCTCTCCTCTCAGGAGAATTCAGCAATGGAGGGCCAGTGGGTATTCACTTCAGTGTCAAAAGGGCTTCCAGAAAACACATTTTCTGTAGGGCAGGGAGGAAATATGGCAAGCTTCCTACACACACACACACACACACACACACACACACACATGCGCGTGCATTCTTTGTTTACTGAGATCACACATAAAGACTGTGAGAGGCCAGATTTCTGAAAAGAAATCAGGAAAAGCCCCACACTAAAAGGAAGCTACCGTTCACAATATCTGAAGATGAATGGGGGTATAAGGTGGGTGTAAAGGGAGAGAGAATGAGGCACAGATATGGTTACCTGGAAAATGAAATCTGTTCCCAAGAAAAGGGCATATAGAAACAGATGATTTTTGCACAGCCAGAGCCCATCTGAAATGTAATTTTATTTTTAAACATTAAGCATTCAGGTAGGCACTTGCCTGACAGGCACTATAAAAGTCACAGCCTAAATAAACAAACTGACTCCCATGTCAGCTCAAGTCTCTTCTGTTAAGCTGGCCACAAGCCCAGATCAGTTCTGAAGTGTACGTGTTTTGGTGGCTTCAGTCTAGCAGGGAAGACATGAGGGAAACTATCTGAGCCCAAGAAGAACTTGGAAAATAACGGATAAACAAAACTGATTTTCAAAAATAAAGGGAGAGAGAGAACCTAAAACAAGTCCTCTCGGAGGGCTGGGGGACATAGCTGGGCACAAGCTCTGCCACGGACCAGGCCAGAGAAAAGCACCAGAAGAACTTCAGCCTCGTTTCAGAGGTAGACAATGCCAAGCAGCAGAAGGCACAATTATGCAGATAACACAAAGAATTCAGGAAGACCATTAAGAGAAATGGATTTGACAATAAGCTAGCCAGGAGCCCGTGTGAGAAAGAGCAGAGAAAGGAATAAATTAATTACCCACCATGGTAAAGATGAGGATGCATGCTCAAGACACTGCTGCAAAATAAATGCAAATGCTGAAATGCACGAAGGTGAGCCGTGTTGTTGGATGTGCAGTTATAGCTTATATCCTACTAATTTTTCAGGTTACGATATTACTAATGAACAACATTCCAAGCCTAAATGTTTTCAACCATGGAACCCCAGGCTAAGACTCAGAAGGACCAACGATAGAAGCCCAAGGCTTAGGAATGAAAACACTGCTTCCTGGTCTCCGCTATTGGTGAGTCCAAACACTTAATTTACCCATTTTCCAAAAGAAAATGGCCAGAGCTGTGCTCATTCTTACAGGCGAGACAGGGTTGTATGAATGGGGGAACACAGTAAGGATGAGAGATTTGTTATAGAAGAAGAACTAAGTAGGGCAGTGGACAGGCCACTCTGGAGACATCTCAGATCAATGAGCTATAGGATCAGGATGAGAAAAGAGAGAACAGCAAAGAGTCAAGTATGTGATTCTACTCCTCTAAAGGTTGACGGGCACAGAAGAGGACTGGGGGTGGGGGAGACACATCTCACAGCAGCCAGGCCTGTTTAATTGAGGTTCTCTCTCTTCCTGCCTCAGGAGCTGGTCCTCTTGGGGAAGCTGCCAAAGAACAGGGCCCTAGGCTCCTTGATAGGAGCAACCTCTGCAGGTACA